ATGGAAAGAAGACAACATTAGTAGATGAGGAGACTGATTCTGATCAGATATTTTATTCTTAGTTTTGGACATCTATTTTATATGTATGGTTATTTATTTTATTGTCCATTTTATAGTGTGCAATGAATGAACTTTATATTTATTTTAAACTATTTGGTGAATGTTCAATGAACTTGGAAGTTTAAAACTATTATTAAACTATTTATTAAATATTAAATTAGTTATTTGTGTTCAATGTTTGAATGAATATGGTATTTGTAAAATTTTATGCATGTTTGTTGTGTTGTAGAAAAAATAAATATAAGAGGGTTTGCTTTTTTTTGTTTTGTTTTTTTTTTACAATAGATTTCTAACAGATTTTTGGCGGATAATCCATCGAAAATGGTTATATGATGAAATTTATCATAATTTTGTCGGATAAACCGTTGGTACTAATAACTAAAAAAATGAAACATCATATCAGTATATTCTGCTAGAGTTTTGCGGGTAAGCTTGCCCAAAATATTTATGGTGGAACTATTTCATCAAAAAAGGTCTCTGATGGGCATTTTACTATCAAGTGAAGTTCCATCGAAAATCCATAGGAAAAGCAAATTTTTTGTGAAATTTTATGATTTTTGGTAGATTTGGGCTGCCAATAAAGCATGATTTTTTTGTAGTGAACATGATGCTTGCCCAAGAGCTTATTCATGAGATTAATTACAAAGTGATGGGTCAAAACTTAATTATGAAGTTTAATATCCCAAAAGCTTATGATAATATAAACTAGTTCTTTATTTCTAACATATTGAAACTTTTTTAGTATTAATGGTGATTGCATTTCTTTGATTTCTAACATTATCGAGAATGTTTAGTTATCTATTATCATTAATGATTCTGCGCAAGGTTTTTTTAAAGCTGAGCAAGATGTTAGGAAGGGTGACCTCTTTAGCCCTGCTCTTTATATTATCCATATTATGTATCTCTATTGTAGCTTTCTTAATATCTTCTCTAAGTATAAGAGCTTGTCTTATATTAATGTTGGTGGTTTGATTATTTCTCACTTGTGCTTTACTGATGATATTATTATTTTCTACAAAAGCTCTATAAGGAGTGTTAAAAGGATTTATCATCTTTTAAAAACTTTTTAGGAGGAGAGTGGCCTTCATTTTAAAAAAAAAAAAAAAAAAGTTCATTCATTATGGGAAAAGATATGGCTACTAAAATAATCAAATTTATCAAGTGCTACACTAGTTTCTTTAAACAATATTTGTTTATTTATTACTTGGGGACTCCTCTTCATAAAGGGCATAAGCGGTCCTTCTTATTTGATAAGTTTTTCCATAATATTCATAATAAATTAATGGCTTGAGAATTTAAACTTCTTTCCATAGGCAGCAGGTTGGTTTTAATCAAAGTGTGTTATACTATATGCATGTGTATTTATTCTATCAATGCTACTTTGGAGGTTTGTGTAGACACAAGAGAATCATTAATTACCAATTTTTTTGGAGATCTTCTTAGGAGAAAACAAATATTTAATGGAGAACATCGCATTATTCCTATATTGGCCCTCACAGTGAGGGTGGTTTGGGTTGCAAATATGTTATTGATATGGTTAAGTGCTTTTCTATTAAATTGTGGTGGAAGTTTAGGATTAATTTCTCTCTTTGGGCCAATTACATGCATAAAAACTATTGTAATTTATTTCATCCATCCTAATGTTTTTTTTAAGAAGGGGAAATATCCTGGTTGGTTAAGACTTTATAACTCTAAATGGCTTGGGGAATAATGCATTTAATGGGGCATTAGGGAATTGTCTTCATAATTTTGGCAAGTTAACCTGATTAATTGGATTGGTTTCATTGGTTATATTATTAATATTCATTCTATTTCTAATATGAAAATAACTGATTTTACTGTCAATGGTAGATCATATGATAACTAGTTGTCTGAGCTATCTCTATAGATTTGGTTAGTATTTTTTGTTACATTCATACCAATCTTTGTTCAAAATATCAACCTATTTTTAAGTTTTTTTTGCCAAGGGCAATTTCTATATTAAAGATGTTTGAGTACTTAAAAAATTAAAAGTAATCCCGATTCAATTTTTAGTAGAATATGGAACTCCTCTACTCCTAACATCTTTATCTTTGCTTGGCAACATATTAATGGTTGAATTATTGTGGATAATAGGTTAATTAAAAAGGGCTTTTGCATCTCTTCCAAATGTTAATGCTGCCATCATATTGAGATAATCAATCATGTTGGTGTGGATGGGCCAATTGTTGTTAGTGTTTAGAATTTTTTGAATAATGCTCTGGGTTGTAACATGTATTAATTCTTTTATTGTAATTTGTAGAGCCTTATTGGCCAACTAGTTTCATGAGAAGTTAGCTGGCCAACACAAATACAGTAGAATTGAAGGTCTTCTTCAACCAATCCCTTTTCATAGGGGTAGTTTATCTTTCTCTTATTTCTTATTCTCTTTTTTTTCCTCACAAGGAGAATCTTGAACTTCAATCCCTCAATCTCTCCGAAAAAACTCATAAGTTCTCTCACACAAAATCTTAAGCAAAATCCACCTTTAATTGTTTTGCCAAGTCTTGCTCGATAAAGACCTAGTCTTGTTCTTTAATCTTTTTTGTACATCAAAATAACTAAAAAATTGATATCAAATCCATATGTAATCTTGATTCAGCTCGCTACCACTTCCATGGTTTTTTCCAACATTTTAAAAACCCTAACCCCTTCTGTAATGCAAAAGATCTCCATTAACGTTGTTGTCCAAAGTGGCATTCTAGAGAAAGAGCATTCTTTCCACTCAGAATAAAAAATGAGAAAAATTAAGAATGAGATACATGATGAGCTAACTCTTAATTCAATAAATGAACTAAAAATCAGATCATAAATGAGCTAAATTCCAGCTCAAAATTTATTGAGCTAGTAAGCTCAAGGGAAGTCAAAACTAAATATTCTTGGGTTTGATTTGACCCCCCCTTTGCCTACATCAGACTCCCCTTCTTGAGAACTCATCTTCCAACGAGTTAGCTTTTATTTTCTTTTGAGGAGGTGAAGACGGAGCATCCAACTCTTTAATCTTTTCTCCAAACTCCTTCAAAATTTCTTCTTGCTCTTTCTCGAACTGTCTTTGGAGATACATCTTCCATTTCTCAAATTTCTGATCACATAAGAACATGTGATATTGAAGTTTGTATAATCTGTCTTGAAACGGATCGGTTGAATCACCTTCTGTGGGAATCCATCTGTCCAACGGAAGAGGGACATCAAGATTATCTGGATTGATTTCCTCCTTGAATGAAGCCATATTTTTGTCTTTTTCCATTTTTAGGGAACCACGAACCTTTTTATATATGATCATATTTATTTTTAATTCAACCCATCATTATAATATAATAAATTTTTATATCTATAAATAATAATTAATTTCAGATATATTAATATGTTGCATAAAATCAAATAATAATTAATTCTCATGTAGAAAATAAATTTAATAGACTTAAATCTTAAATAACACTTAATCTATAATTAATATTTATATATAATCCCTCATAAAAAATCTTCCAACAAATAGAGGAAAGCAAAATGCCAAGCCCACAGAATTGTACCCAAATCATAAATGAAAGCACCAACAGTTTGTCAGAGGGAGCTGCTAGCTCAAATTAAATTGAAATAAATAAAATCATGCATTTAAAAAAATATTAACTAGTTAAACTTTTACAAAAGAAATCCTTAATTATTTGTCAAAATTTTGAGAAAAATATAATAAAATTTTTAAAAAAGATCACATGATTTTATCTTAAAAATTCTCGTAAGATATGAATGTATATATAATTCCAATATCTTCTTAGGTCTTTATTTACCTTCTCTTTGAATCTTATTTCTAATAATTAACATAACCTTTTTGATGGAAAATAGTAAGAAAAAAATAAAATAAAATATGCTGACAATAATTAATATCACTTTTTAGTGAATATAATCAGAAATAAGTTACGTATGAAAGTTTAAATGCGCTGACCATTCAAAAAATTAAAATGTGTTGACTTTACTAAAGATGAAAAAAAAAATTATTGTAAGAATATCAATATATATTACAATTAAAATACACAATAATTCTGAGTTACATTTACATTAAGATTTTATTTGGAGCGACTTATTACTTTTTATAGTAATATTTTATTATAAATTTTTTTAAAAAGCTATTACAAATGAAACTTTGTTTTTTTGAGGCATTTGAGCCATTAAAATAAATTCATGTAAACATCATATATGTAAGATTTGAATCTGAAACCTCTTAAGATTCGTTTGGGACAACTTTTTTATTACTTTCTAAAACAAATTTTTAGTTCAAAATTTTTTGTGCTAAAAAGCTGCTTTAAAAAGTAGTATGAAAGCTGTCACAAACGAGATTAATTATTCTGTGTGAACGTCGAACACTATTCAAAGATCAATCAGAATGTGCCATGTCACCCCTTGTTTGGTACTGCAGCTCGGTAATACTGGCATGGAACATTCTGTTTGATCTCCGAACGACGTTTTACATCCGGTCTCCAAACAAATTAATTTCTCCACAAATGAAGTCTTAATTAGTAGTCAAAATTGTCTACCAAGAGGTCAAGAGGAGAAAAATTGATGCATCATGAATCAACTTTATTATCCTTTTGTCTGTTTGCCAAACTTTATGCTGCCACATCCTTTTTGCCTCTCTCACTTTCTCTCCTCTCCTTCTCCATGTTTTTAATTCAAATGACTTGTGACTATCATGGCATTGAATGCTATGTAAGCTAATGAGGAGAGAGGATCACAGCCATTAAGAAAAAATGCATGCATGCATTAAATGGAGAGATAGGTGAAAAGAAAGAAGGCCAACTGGCCAAAGGTATGCGAGTCATGAGAATGTTGTAGAAGGCTAGGTTTATCCGAGGGTTCAAATCAGAACATGCTCTTCTTTTCTATACTTGGCAAAAAACACCGTCTTTCTCTCTCTCTCTCTCTCTCTCTCTCTCTCTCTCCTCTCTCTCACATCACATCATATACCACCGGATCATTTTCTCTCACCTCTCACTGCTCACTCTCTTTCTCTTCTCTTCTGGCATTTTATCTCTCCCATATGCTTTCTGCGCCCTAAGCTCCTCGCTCTGTTCTCATTCTTCTTGTCTGCACTTCCGGCAGGGAGCGCGGGACTGAGAAAGCGGAGGAAAGCCAGAGACAAGTAGCGCGGAGGACGGGACCGCCCGGGGGTGTTGTAAGAAAGGAGATCTTTCCGGGTTGTCGCCGTCTGGTAACCTCCGCAATCGATCGCAGAGATATAAGAATATAGTTGATCTTTTAGGGTTCGATCTCTTACAAATCATGCTTTCAAAAAAAGTTTTAAAAAATTCGTAAATTTGGAAGTCGGTTATTAAGAACTTGTTTCTTAATTTCATGATATCAAAAGACTCGATCTCTTTCTGCTTCTATTCTTCCTCTACACAGATCTGTAGTGGAGTCATTGGCGCTTCATCTTGATTTCAGAAATCCTGATATCATCTTTCTTCTTTTCATATCTTAAAAGTAAAATCATTAAACCGTTTTTCAAAAGACAAAAAAAAATCTTAATTTTTAAATAATTGTATAAATATATTTCCGAACTTGTTTCTAATTTCTGGAAATCAGATAATCTTCTTTGGTTTTAGCCAAACCCTAGATTAACTTTCGACTTCTATACAGATCTGCAATGGAGCCATTAGCACTTAGTTCAATAAGCAACGGGCACGTAGCAGCTAGTAACGGGGCTGCGGTGACCGGAAACGGATCTCAGATGGTAAGCACGCCGTGCGCGGGATGCAAGTTTCTCCGCCGGAAATGCCAACCCGATTGCGTCTTCGCGCCCTACTTTCCACCCGACGAGCCACAGAAATTTGTTAACGTTCACCGCGTCTTCGGGGCAAGTAACGTGACAAAGATCCTCAACGAGCTTCACCCATTGCAGCGCGAGGATGCGGTGAACTCACTCGCTTATGAGGCGGAGATGAGGCTTCGCGATCCGGTTTACGGATGCGTTGGTATTATTTCTGTGCTGCAGCATCAGCTGAGGCAGCTGCAAATGGATTTATCGAGGGCGAGATCGGAGCTATGTAAGTATCAGGCAGCGGCGGCCGGGATGGAGCAGCTGTGGGGGCCTATGGGGCAGAATCAGCAGCAGCAGCACCAGCAACAACAAAGGGTGGTGATGATGAGAGGGTATGGAGGGGGGCCTGAGGTGGGGGGTTATGATGTGGGGTTAATGACGGCAGCGGCATTCGGCGGGCAGTTTGGACGGTTTTCGGGGGCGGCCGGAGGTGACGATCGACAGAGCACTCTTGGCTCATCCTAGAGGTATTCTCTATCATTTTGTTTTCAAAATTTTATCTTTTAAATTCTCTTGCAATCATAAATATTATCATAGATGGTCGTCCATTTATCTAAATTTCGACTTCTTACTTGAAACTCTAATGGGGGATCGAAGAAGGTTGGGAAAGGATTAAATGGAGTGGAGGGAGAGGGCATAGTGATGGGTATGTAGAAGAGGAAGAGTGCAATTCATGGAATGATAAGTGGATGACAAAACAATCAAAATGCGAAGGTGAAAAAAGTATTTCTCATCAAGAAATTTCTCTGAAAGTTTTTTTTTTTTCTAAAAGAAGGCCAACAAAAAACTTATACATAAGGTAAAGGCTGTAATGAGTGGTAGATCATTATTGTTGCTTCTGCAATGAGATAAAAATTTTATGGAAGATTGCAGATATGCCAGTAAAAAATGATGAATACTTAAAAGGAGTTTTTTTTTTTTTTTGTGAGAAATCCTTATGAAGTTTTATTGTTACTACTATTTTTTATTTTGGTTCTCAAGACAATTTAGCCGTTGCATAAATTACTGTATGCAATATATAGTTTAATTATTAGAGGAGCTTATGGTAGTTTTTCTTACATAGGGGTTGGGAGTAGACTTTGGCAATATATTAATGAGTTGTTTTAACTGGTTTATTAACATTATGATGCTTTTTTACCTCTAGTTTCATTTTTATTTTTAATTATTTTCTATGATTTAATGTGATTCAGAAAAAAATACAGTTTGTATAATTAGAGAATGTGACAAATTTTCATCAAGATTTTACATGCATATGAGGGTATTACAAGCATAATGTGCTCCACATATATACTCCCTGCTAACAATTGTACAAGCACAAACACAAAAAATAATTATAATAAATAAATAATACGATAAAAATAACTCATAGACATAGAAAGTTTTCAATATTAAATATAGTTATACAATTTAGCTTCGGTGGAAAAAAAATTTAGATGAGGAAAAAATATAAGTTTAATGTATTTTTATCATGTTGCAAGATATTTTTCTCATTATAAGAATTTTCAGTTATTCTTTAATAATAAAATGAGAGTAAAACTATTTTATTGTTATTCTTTTTGTATCTTTTGGTCACACTTCTAGTAAAAATATATTTTTTTAAAAAATATTAAAGATTTTATCTATATTCTCAAATTCCCTTGTTTTCTTTTCAAAAGATAATGATTTTATGCTGTAAAGCAAAGGTGGGAATATTAGATTGGTTATAATAATTGAAAATATATTGACTTAGAAATAATAAGTGATTACATCATATCAATGTTGATTAATCATTTGAGATTGTGTTTCATATATTTGCATGGTGGCTCTAATTGGTCTTAGTGGATTTTTATGTTGTTTTAACAAGATTTAGACTTCGTTTGGAATTGCTTTCTAAAGCATCTTCTTAGTACAAAAATTTCTAATTTTAAAAATTTTTTTTATAGAAGTCTGCTTTAGAAAGCAGTAAGAAAGCCATTCCAAACAAAGCCTTAAAGATGGTTTTTCATTTGCATAGGGGATTATAAAATTGGTTTTAGTCCTATTTTAGATAGTTGAAGAGTATATTAATGTAGAAATACTAAATGGTTGACCCTTACACATTAGCATTAACATTTTAGTTGAAGTTATGTGCAACTAGTCCAATTATAATCCCCATTTCATCCACACCTCCAGCATATATAGGATAGAAAATCTGTGTAACGATTACTTTTAGTAATAATTAAGGAAAAAGTGTGATTGAACTTTAATATTTAATCATAATTGTAATCATTATGTGATTATAACTCTTTTTTTTTGTGGAATTTCTATTTTTGAAGATAATGATGCAGTTAAAGATATTACTTTTCTTTTTCTGTTTTTTATTTTATTTTAAGACAAACTATAATCATGTGATGGAAATGTCTTTTCTTGTTACTCGAAGTATGTCGTAACTAAGGCTTGTTATTGTCCCTTAATTTCCCATCTCTTTTTCTTCTGTGCATACTCTCTCCTAAAAAAGGAGTTGCAGGTTCGAGAGCCAAGTGATGAAGGATTTCTCGAATAATGAGATCAAACAGTAGATAGAGGCTTGGATTTTTCCTTCCATGGAATCCATTTACCAGAAATAGAATTTAGTCTTCGTTTGCCAGCTCGATCTTGCTACATGTCAAAACTTGGTGTCTGTATTGATTGTAATCTCCTCTTTCTCCTTCCAAACTCAGATCGATGACTGTATCTTTGTCTCCATTTTTAATAGTTCTCCATTAAATGTTACCGCAATTTAGCTACTTTAATTTCTTCTTTGTAAATCGATGTAGTATGTTTGATCTGCCAGCACTTATCTCTCAATGTGTTTCCCCCCACTACAATATGCTTTCAGCCAGTGGATGGAATCCCAAAACAGCTATAGGAAATGGTCTTAAATCCTAAAATTAGATGTTGTCAACATTCTCAATTCTGAACTATTAGAGATCATTACTGAACATCTCTTAAATTTTTGTAGTAGATCTATTTTTTTTACGAGCATTGTTCTGTATTATTTGTTATTGTCGTGATTTTAACGTCAAGACAGAATACTACAAACAAACATATGGATCAACGACAAAAAAACTCAAATGCTATGCTCTCATATTAATGTCAATCTTAGGCTTAGCTTCATTTTTGACAGTTTTTTACTGCTTTTTAAAACGGTTATTTTATATAAAAATTTTAGTTAAAATTTTTTCTGTAGTTTAAAAATTATTTTGGAAAGCATTAATTAGAAAGCTGTCTCGAACGAAGCCTTAGTTTGAGACAATTGTCATACTACTTTCTTAAAAAAACTTTCTAGTATAAAAGTTTGTGTACTAATTTTTTTTTTTAGAAAGCAATATAAAAGCTATCCCAAACGAAGCCTTTAACGATCTAAATTCTCCCAAAAGAGGAAGAAAATCAAAGAAAATAAACTCATAACATTGCTAATTTGCTATTGCGAGAGAACTGAAAGACTTATAATTTCAGGGTTTATAATTTTTTTATTAAAAGTTTAGAAACAAAGAGAAGAAGAATTAAATAAATATAAGATTTCAACCATTGTAAACCAGTTGTCGCTATCATCTTATTTATTCAATGAAGCATAATAGTCAGCTAGCCAATAATTTATATTAAAATGGAGTTTAAGACTTGTTAATAAGACTAAAGGGCATCCTGTTATCAGCAAAGAAAAATTTATAAGAAGTGGTTAGTGTCCTACAAAGCAGTAAATTAAATAGTATTAAATAGCTAAATATTATATATATAATGAATCCAAAAATATATATTCGGTCAATGTCGGTTTCTTAATCCATTGAAATTTGAATGTTTGATTCTCTTCCACTGGGCAACTTCCATGCATGCTTCCAAAAAGATGAAAAGAAAAGTATGAGTGTTCTTCAAGGCCATTGAAAAAGACCATAGAAAGCGTAGATCTTCAACTCTCTGCTATATTCATTTATTTTGTAGCTATCTGATGAGAAAAGTGTCCATTTTCTGCTACTTGTTTAAGGGAAAAAGTGCATGCCATGGGTATGATTGTCCATAGAGTCAAACAATATACTTCAGTGCCATTGGAAGGAAAGCTTAAAGGAGGCTGCAAGAGAGTCAGACCATTTCTGATAAAGCATTTATTGAAAAGGTGAGATGGCGTTTTAAGGGTATAACTTTTTTTTTATATATATATTTTCCCAAAAAAAAAAAAACTTATTTTTTTATTTTTTTTTATTTTTTTGGGAAATTTTGGAGACTAAGCCCGTATATTAAAGAAAATAGATTACAAGTAAATAGAAACCTGTAAACCTCAAAACAAAAGTCGAAAATGAAACAAAAAAAGGGGGAGCTGAGACAGCCAAAAAGGGGTCTCAGGGAGAGGCTAGCCTCCAAGCAACATTACAAATACATATTGGGAATAAACAAACCCAAAATAGCCAAATGACTCAATCAGCAATCAAAAGTATCAGTAAAATGAACCCTCTAGGAATAACCGGTTGCTAAAATGAACGCATAGGGATAGATGAGCAGCCAGCAAGCCGATGAGTCCAAAATAACGAAGGAAACATTTGTCAAAATACAATCTAAAGTAAGTGCACAAACCATCCTCAACATCATTGACCCATCAAAATTCTTGCCTCCAACAACAATAATCCGATCAAAAGCAGCAGAAATCAAAGAAACCATCATGTGAGCAAAGCAAACCAAGCTGATAGCCTGTCCCAACCTTTCCAAATTTCAACTTTCTGAAGAATGGCAAATTTAATAACTCCATGAGCTGAGTAGGACTATTCCACGAATTTGTAAATCGCCTTCTATTTCTTTCGAGCCAAAGATTATAAACCGTGCACGAAACAACTAAAAAATAGAAATTCTTATCCTCCTCATTGAAATACATAATATTATCCAGAAATTCAAAAACTTGTAGGAGATTAGCCCTCAAAAGGAAATTCTATAAAACTGGAAGAACCAAGGAAATAACCAAAAAAGACTCACAATCAAAGAACAAGTGATTATGCGTTTCCAAATGACCTAGAAAAAAGGAGCAGTTGTGGTTCACTGGAATGGCCCTTTTAATTAAAACATCAGTACATTTAATTAAGCTTCTTGATGATGGCCATCCACGAGTAACAAGAAAACCGTAAAATAGGCCTTCTATGCCAAATGTAATTATGCCAAGAGACCTCATGCAAATGACTAAAAAATTGAGTAATGTAAACTTTATATGAGGGCTTGCCCAAGCAAATCCAAGCTTAAATAGGTTGCTCGATAATAAGAATGCTCATTAAAATAAGAGGGGGTGAATTGAATATTTAAAAACTTCTTTAACTAAAAGAAAAATCTTTTTAAATCTTATAGCAAAAAATAAATTAAATCAATAATAAAAATATTAATCAGAGAGATTTCACCCAAGTAATTAATCATAATAAAAAATATAGTGCATAAAATAATTAAAAAGAACACACCAAATTTATAGTGGTTTGGTCCAACATAACTTACGCCCACTCCTTGAAGGCACCCTCCAAGTATTGTACTAAACATTTAATGACACTTCTTTAGCCCCCACAGCTATGTGGATAAGCCCTTATAAAATTACTTCCACCTTCCTCGATGTGATGGACTATCCGGGTCCTTTGACACCCAATAGATCTTCTTTTTCCCAAAAATTCCCTCAAGACGAATCTTGAATCCGATGATACTAAAGTGCAAGTTTTCTGGAGCAACCGTGTGAAACCCCCTTCACACTCCCTTGAAACTCCCTCCAAGGATCTTCTCCCTCTCTCGAACTCCACCATATTCTCTCTTCCTTTAAAGTTCTCTCTTAAACTTTTCTCAAGAAGAACAAAGCTTCAATAGTTGCCAAAGACACTTATCAAGTGCCTTGACAAAGCTTAAATTGAGGATTTTGATAAAACCTAAAAATTAATCTTGGCGGTACAGTAAAGATTGTCTAAAGATCGTCTAGGACGATCTCAAGATCATCTTGTACGATGTGTTTAAAAAGGGGGCTTCATAAAATCCTAAAAAACTTAATTCTGGCATAAAATATCATTTTGGACGATTGTAGGATCTTCCAGTACGATGTGTAAAATTTGACCTAATAGTTCTGGATGAGAAAAGTGGAGGGTTGTGTTAGGTTCTCGACAGCCAGCGTAAAACTTATCGAATAATAATGTCATGAATTCTCTAGAAAAATTGGCTAGTGATATTAAAAATATTGCAAAAGATGTGCTTAGAGTATCAAAGGGAAAAACTCCTAATAGTAAAAATAGTTGGTGATGGAATACAAATGTGCAACAAAAGAGTAAAAATAAGAAGATTTATCAGAAAAATTAGTTTAATTTTAAAAATTCTGATAATTGGAAAATATATAAAGAGACTCGTAAGAAATCTAAGAAAGTAATATGCAATTCAAAGACCTTAGCTTTTAGTGAATTATATAATAGATTAGATACTAATGATGGAGAAAGATATAGGTATAGGTTAGCCAAACAAAGATATAGGAGTAGTAAGGATTTAATTCAAGTGAAGTGTATTAAGGATGAAGATAAAAAAATACTTTTCTTAGAAGATGATATTTAATAAAGGTGGATGAGATATTTTGCTAATCTTTTTAAAGAAGATATGAAAATAAGAATGACTATAGTGACCTTAGCACGTTAAATGAAAATAAAGATTTTTATTTTTATCAACATATTATTAAAATCGAAGTTAGAGTGGATTTAAAGAAAATAAAGGGTGGAAAAGTTATTGGACATGATGATATTCCAATAAAGGTGCGGAAATGCTTTGGAGATGAAGGAATTTATTGGCTTACTAAACTTTTTAATACTATTTTAAAGACTAAAAAGATGTCAGATGAGTGGAGAATGAGTGTGTTAATTCCTATTTATAAAAATAAAGGTGATGCACAAGATTGGGCGAATTATAGAGGAATTAAGTTAATGTGTCATACTTTAAAACAATGGGAATGAATTAAGGAGCATAAGTTGTGGCGTAATACTAATGTTTCTCAAAATCAATTTGGATTCATGCCGGGTAGGTCGGCTATGGAAGTCATATAATTATTAAGAGTTTTGATGAAGTGATATAGAGAAAATAAGGAGGATTTACATATGATATTTATTGATTTATAAAAATCATATGATAAAGTTCCAAGGGAAGTGTTATGGAGTGTTTTTAAAAAGAAATGAGTTAATAACACTTATATTGTAATCATTAAAGATATGTATGCATAAGTTATTACTTGTGTTCAAACACAAGGTGGTTTGACCAAGTATTTCCCTATTTCGGTTGGGTTACATCAAGGATCTGCCTTAAGCCCATATCTTTTTGCTTTAGTCATGGATGTTCTCATTAGACATTTGCAAGAGGATGTACCTTGGTGTATGCTTTTTGCTGATGATATTCTTCTTGTTGACAAGACTAGAGAGGGAGTTGAAGGTAAACTCGAATTAT